GAACACTTAATTATGCAAATGTTATGTATTATGATTTTATATTTGTTTTTCTTTACTTGTTTCTGCGACCATTCCAATCTAATTTATTATGTATTTATTTGTATCTGTACATAAGGCCAAAGGCCACAGTACGAAATAAAGATATATATATATATATATATTCCAAAATAGTCAGTACAAGCTTTGGGGGTAGGTCCCGTTAACAATGTACATAACACCACACCAGTCAATACTAACTGGGGAGGGAATCTCATAAAAAATATGCACATAGCATTTGATCAGTCAATACTAGCTTAAGGGTTCCATAACAATATAACTTACATAGCACTCCACCCATCAACACTAGCTTAGGGGTCCATATAAATATTTTCATAGCATTTCACGATAGTCAATAATTTAATTTAATCTTCACAGCTAGCAATTTCACTGTTTTTATTGTAGCCACATTGTCAGCAGTGTTTGTTCTGACTTGGGCACCTCAATTTTGAATACAATCATTTTCAAAGAGGATTCATGGGTTTGGATTGAGTAAGATTTATAGTGAAAGATTTGCATGGAATTTGAAAATCTTGAATTATTATTTGAGCAGGAGCATACAATTTCATTTCAAATTCAAGAAATCCCATTAAATAAAGTGTTTTTTTATAACAAACATTGCTGTGAATGTTTCTGGAAGTATATGTAATACAATGTTGATAGGGAGGCAGTTTATTTTGGCACTGCTGTATAATGCCAACGAAATTTTCACTTTTTAATTGTATGCTGGAGAGAGAATACAATAAATGCAATTTGTGGTGGAGTGTTGCTTTGCTAGATGCATTTTTAACAGAGCAAATTTACAAAACAGTTATACAAATTGCAACGCTGTGTATGTACTAGAGTGTGAAGAAATAAAACTAAACATTGTTTATTGACAACTCTTTTACCACAAAAATACAATGAACAATTATCATGAAAATTGTGTGTATAATCAACATATTGTAAAACAATTGATCAGACTAAATACAACTTTAAAGGCAATACAACAGGAAAACAAAATCTGTAACGATGCAGACAGACATTTATGGTTAGTATTAAAATAGCAACAAAACATAGGTACTCATTTTTTATGAATTATAGCAAATTTTTTGAATAATTTTATTTTTTCACCGCATTTAAAGGAAAGACAATGCCAATTAATTAGGACATACCAGTACACATAGTGATGAATTGACACAAAATTAATACATTCACCAGTAGTATTATTATAATAACAGTAAAATTTCACTACAAATTTGCTATTCATCTTGCAGAATGACAACATTTTAGTGTTGTACCAGGTGACAGATCCTACTACTAGACACTGAATGCCATTGTTTTTGTAATTGACTTTTTGGGTGTGCATGTTACCAGTTATCAAGTTAGAGCAAAAGAAATTTTATGGCATGTGATATGTATCATACCATGCATATCACTAGTATACAGTGTGTAAATAGGTCAAACAATTAAAATGAATAAGTAACTGACAATTACTGTATCTATTGCATTGATTGTATCATGAATTTAGTTCACTCTCAAGTTTTGTTCAAAAAATATACCATTATTGAGTCAGCCTCTAAGACATTATATCACATATAAAATATATAAAATTCAAAGTTGAGACAAGGGTTTCTGAATAGTCACTTTCATACCAATTAAAGAAGAGACATCCCAATCCTTGTCAGTTGTTTTGTTTGTTCATATACCTCAAACTGATAACAAAAATATAGAAAATTGTTTTTGAAATTACAGTTACCAATTTTCAATTAAAAAAATTACTCAATAATAAAATATTGCAACATGGTACTTCATCAAATAAAAATTGAGAAAGTATCTGGCCTCAGTTTTCTAACACCCTACAATTTTTTTTACATTATTAGAAATCAAAAAATAATCTTTAGTTTGGCAATGAAGGGGGAGGGCAGTAAAAATGAAGTCAACCAACTCAATAGAAAAATAGGTTTTCTGAATAAAAAAGGTTTAACTTCAGCACTAAGAGGGCACCAAATTTCAATCTCAACATTTCTGAAAATGCTATAAATTGAAAGAATTATTCACCTATTTTGTTGGGCATCAAAGAATTCAGATTTTATTTTTATTTTGAAAATTGACAAGTTGACTTTGACCCCAGGGTTAAGGGAATTTTATACAACTTTACAAGAGTACTATCTATAATTATATTTGGTAATTTAAGGATTCATCCAATGCATGGAAAGGCATCAAATATGATCCTCGGTGTCTACAAACTGTCAAAAAATACAAAATGAGTTTCAGCCTCTGAAATTTCTTTTTTCTTTTCATTTTCAGCCAATAAGATTGTGTACAATTCTATCAAAATGGTGACACAGGGTTTTCCTCTGGACATTATATTTTGGAGAACCAATAGAACCAATTTAGCATAGCAATGAACACAAATGAGGTGATTAGACACTGATGTTTGGGTTATTAGATAATACCTGTATGTATGCACATTCATTACATTGTGTATCATATTTCCATATTAGTATGCATGCACTTATATAAATAGAGGTATATCTATGGTCAAAATGATAGAAATATGCACTTCTAATAGAGCCAATACAGTATATACAACATTGTGACCATATCAAATCAATTGTAGTTCAGGAAAGGTTTAAGCATTAAAAATAATTTACTAGTTTTTTAAGAGAATTAAAAAACAAACTTCAACTTATAGTTAAAAAGTTGTTCAGAAATCAAGATTCACACCCATGTTGACACTCAAAGGTGCACTGACTCATGCTGCTACCCAAACATAAATTAACCTCCATGTGTGGATACTCAGCAGGGCAAAAAATACGCAAATATGCATAAACTTTTATGTAATTTTAAGAGATATATTTAAGTGTCTTGTATTCGCAACATTTGGTTATTCTACCAGTAGTAATAGTTCTCCTTCACACATGTGAGCCGTACTATATCTGGTACTATATCCCCTTTATATTTTTCTTTGGAGTGGACCAGTTGATCCCATCTCCTTGCAGCGATGTACAAGAAGGGATTAGAAAGCATAGTAACCAGTTCTTTCCAAACGTTTCCCGATAGTTTTCCCAGCTGTTGTAATTTATTCCCCTGATATCATGGATTGCTTCGTGTCGAGTTTGTCCTTCGTAAGCGATTATCATGTTCCATATGAACAGACCTATCCCCATGACGAACGTCATAACACATATGTACATCAAGAACACTATACCAAAGACAGAAGATGGCATAGAACCAAACATCCAGCTGAGAATCGCAAACGGTAGTAGGTATGTGAATGCAGTGTCCCCATAAAAGAAAGCTCCATAGGTGTAGTGTAGAAACATCGCTGCGTAGACCATCCCGTAGATAGAGGCAACTGCTACATAGAAATTATACACTATAAAATTACGATGATTGTAGTAACCGATACATCGTCCAATGAAAAAGCAATGTTCTTCACGTTTCAAAACGCAGTACCCACATATCGGGCAGTGGTGGGCTCTTGGTGGGGCATGTTGTTGGCAGGTGATGCAGTGATGCCATGTTTTGGGTACTGGATCGGGGGAACGAGCTTGGTAAGAACTGTTGTGAAACATGCACAACAAATAGTTCGATATCATGTTGACTACTGAGAAAATAAATACGTAAGTGTGGAATGTTTTCCGTGATTCATAAATTTCATCTTTGTACACAACAGGCATGGACACGAATAGGACTGTGTAAACGACAGCTACGGTAACCACCCAGTAATAAGACGTTGCTAAACAATTGGCAAACCTCAAATGTCTTCGTGATTTTTGCATCTTGAACAACTGAGTGGCGATCTTGTCGCCCAAACCATTCATGTGCCGCATCGCTGATGTTTGTGTATGCAGACTAAATATGAACTATGACACCTTCGCACCTTCAGTGTTTTCCGTCGTTACGATGTGATATTGTATGGCTATAGTCTGTTTATTCTATTTTAACTACTCGAGGGGGCTACACATAGAACACGTGGTCATTCTACAACATAGTGTCTAGTCAAATAATCGAGCTGAACACATAAACTATGATCTCTTTTATGAGCTTAGTTTTATTTATGCTTGTATTTTCTTTTCATATTAATCATTAAAAAAAAGGTAAAATAGGGAATACTACTTCTTTCATTATGTTTTCAGTATATAGGTATACTACCCCTGTACGTTTCTAGTCTCGTACTACAAATTAAACAAACAAACATCTTTGGTAAGTACTATAATTTAGATTTTTATAAGTGTTAAGTATAAATATGATATATTTAATTAATAATGGATGTCAAAGTATATTGACATATTTCGAACTACCAAAAAATGTATTGTTGTATATAACGTTTACCTTTTTTTTGAACGAGGCTATTTCTGCGCAGTCGCAGTATTTACAAAATGGCGCAATAGTTTAAAAACGTCGTCCGTCATAAATGTGAAAGTGTTTTAGGTAAGAAATTAGCATTTATCAGTACAAATTTGTGCTTCTCTCATCTCTTGAACTATTTATTCAATGATTTGTGGTAGAAAATGTCCCACAGTGTTGATACTTCCGCATATTTTGGTCAATTATTCCACTAGTCTATGGGGAGTTTTCTCGGGTAGTCCAAAGGTTTATTTTATCATGATTAGTTATGTATTTCCCCATATCAGAACACTATTTATTAAGTGGATAGTACATTAAATCAATTGTGTGGCCATGTATACATTTAATGGGATACATACACCAATGATTTTTCTAAAAACCTGTAAAAATCGAGCCCTGGATAAACCTACAGTCAGCTGGCATCGGTGTCGCTGGGTGTATATTGATAGAGGGAAGTTGTGCAACCAAATTTGCCGAGTTCGCAGTTTTTCGCCGATAAAAAAATAACTAAGGCAAAAACTCGCGGTTTTTCGGCATTTTTGTAATAAAGACATTATTATCTATCAATAATCCGCCCAAAACAGGAATATTGCAATTGCAATTGCAATTATCGACCCCACGACGGCAGTGACTTGACGCATGGCGATGTGCTTGCTGCAGTTTATGCAGCTCTCTTGGTCGTGGTATACGTTGCGGGGCGACCAGAGAGCTGCAGTTCCCTTCCCTAAACAAATGCACAGATTTTTAAATATGCCAGTTATGTATCATTAAAATTGTGATTGTAATAAAATTACCTCGACTTGCAGGAAAAAATAGACAAATATGTTCTCACAAATATATCTGTTACTGATTACAGCAAGCTTTAAGCAAATTTGCCCGTGTAAATGAGACTATTTCACGTTAAAACTGTGCCGAAGTGAAACCTCCGATTGAACGCCGCCATTTTGAAGCCGACCTCTATCACGTGACTTGGCTCTTTTAGTGACGAGTGTAATCACGTGACTACAGCAGCCATCGGCGCCTGTCTGGGACAGCGCTTCATGTGACGAAACAACGGCAGACGGCTTTTTATAATTTTAATTTCATTTCACCATTAAGTGACTCATCTTTTTTGAAAAAATCAAATAAAGTACATGTATTATTAAAAATATTTTTTTCAGCAGTTTTATTTATATATTGTGAAAAATC